ACAACATCCAGTATTGGGCCCCTACTTAAACAAGATGGGTCCTACACAGATGACAGCAAGGAAATAAGTGAGCTACTCAAATCCCAATATGACTCAGTTTTTAGCAAGCCGCTAACCAGACTGAGAGTCGAAGATCAAAATAATTTTTTTATGAGAGAGCCACAAAATTTGGTTAACACAAGCCTATCCGATGTTATCCTGACGCCAAATGGCTTCGAACAGGCGATAAATGACATGCCCATGCACTCTGCCCCAGGGCCAGACTCATGGAACTCCGTGTTCATCAAGAACTGCAAGAAGCCCCTATCACGAGCCTTTTCCATCCTATGGAGAGGGAGCATGGGCATGGAGGTCGTCCCACAGTTACTAAAAGCAACAGACATAGCCCCACTCCACAAAGGGGGCAGTAAAACAACAGCAAAGAACTACAGACCGATAGCACTAACATCCCATATCATAAAAATCTTTGAAAGGGTCCTAAGAAGCAAGATCACCACCCATCTAGAAACCCATCAGTTACACAACCCAGGGCAACATGGGTTTAGAACAGGTCGCTCCTGTCTGTCTCAACTATTGGATCACTACGACAAGGTCCTAAATGCACTAGAAGATAAAAAGAATGCAGATGTAATATATACAGACTTTGCAAAAGCCTTCGACAAGTGTGACCATGGCGTAATAGCGCACAAAATGCGTGCTAAAGGAATAACAGGAAAAGTCGGTCGATGGATCTATAATTTCCTCACTAACAGAACACAGAGAGTAGTCGTCAACAGAGTAAAGTCCGAGGCAGCTACGGTGAAAAGCTCTGTTCCACAAGGCACAGTACTCGCTCCCATCTTTTTCCTCATCCTCATATCCGACATAGACAAGGATGTCAGCCACAGCACCGTGTCTTCCTTTGCAGATGACACCCGAATCTGCATGACAGTGTCTTCCATTGCAGACACTGCAAGGCTCCAGGCGGACATCAACCGAATCTTTCAATGGGCTGCAGAAAACAATATGAAGTTCAACGATGAGAAATTTCAATTACTCAGATATGGTAAACACGAGGAAATTAAATCTTCATCAGAGTACAAAACAAATTCTGGCCACAAAATAGAGCGAAACACCAACGTCAAAGACCTGGGAGTGATCATGTCGGAGGATCTCACCTTCAAGGACCATAACACTGTATCAATCGCATCTGCTAGAAAAAAGACAGGATGGATAATGAGAACCTTCAAAACTAGGGAGGCCAAGCCCATGATGACACTCTTCAGGTCACTTGTTCTATCTAGGCTGGAATATTGCTGCACACTAACAGCACCTTTCAAGGCAGGTGAAATTGCTGACCTAGAAAATGTACAGAGAACCTTCACGGCGCGCATAACGGAGATAAAACACCTCAATTACTGGGAGCGCTTGAGGTTCCTGAACCTGTATTCCCTGGAACGCAGGCGGGAGAGATACATGATTATATACACTGGAAAATCCTAGAGGGACTAGTACCGAACTTGCACACGAAAATCACTCACTACGAAAGCAAAAGACTTGGCAGACGATGCAACATCCCCCCAATGAAAAGCAGGGGTGTCACTAGCACGTTAAGAGACCATACAATAAGTGTCAGGGGCCCGAGACTGTTCAACTGCCTCCCAGCATACATAAGGGGGATTACCAACAGACCCCTGGCAGTCTTCAAGCTGGCACTGGACAAGCACCTAAAGTCGGTTCCTGACCAGCCGGGCTGTGGCTCGTACGTTGGTTTGCGTGCAGCCAGCAGCAACAGCCTGGTTGATCAGGCTCTGATCCACCAGGAGGCCTAGTCACAGACCGGGCCGCGGGGGCGTTGACCCCCGGAACTCTCTCCAGGTAAACTCCAGGTAAATTCCTTACCTGTCTCCCCTAACAGTGCTCTAAATCTATGTCCAGTCACGCACAACATCACCACCCATACAAGTGTGCTTCCCACCCTCATTAGTCCGGTAATCTTGAATCCATTCATAGGTATTATTACACTCTTCGCTCGAGTCAGTTAACACGGTCACGTGCCTGCTGTGTGCTCAAGCCCTAATCTCTCAAAACCTTCTCATCCTCTTTTCAGTCCTTGGGATGTTCCATTTTCCACGTTCCGTCTACTTCAGATTAATACACTATCTTTATCTAACTATCTGCCCACCTTGTTTCATCCTTTCATTCTGACCAAACCATCTCAACAGCCCTCTGAGGATCTGTCCCACGTGGCAGTACTTGACTGCAGACAGTAAGAGAGCATCTCCCAGCCTTGGCTTCACGTATGAAGGTTAACTGGCCAGTCTTGAAAGTTGTGTTGATCACTGAATTGTCTCAGCCACATGCTCGAAAATGACAGAAAATGTCCTTTTACTTAACATTTGTCCTGTTTTGAATGATTCGCTTAGGTGAGCCCAAAGTTGTCGTGTTGTCTTCACAATGTACTGAGTGTTCAGAATGATTCACTCAGGTTAGCCCTGAGCTGTCCTGTCTTCAGACTTACACCTCATACTGACGAGTGTAGACAGTGACAGTGGTTAGAGCTTGAAAACCTCATTAATGTATAGTTGTTGCTAAGTATAACTCCAAGAGAACACTGGAAATTTTTTTATCTAAGTACAGTAACTGATTTATTTGATATGCAATAACAAATGCTAACAATGAATGGCAGACCAATACAGAAATTAATGTTTCTAACGCAATATAATCTTCAGAGGACGTTAATTAACCACTGTCTACCGTCTACGTTACCAAAAAGTTTATTTATATAAGGATCAAAATAACACTTTGAAAACCAATTACCTCTGAGTATATCTTAAATAAAGTGTTACTAGGTTCTGGCCCAAGGCTTGCGTTTAACCTATAATTCCACTAGTGAACCCCGCCCACCTGTGACGTTCTCAACTGTCCACTTTGATCTTATCTTATAAACTGAGTTTCTGTCTCCATGTGGGTTATTACTGAGCAGTGACAGATGTTTCCTTCACTTTAGTTATTCACTGTAGTTGGTATGAAAGCTGATATGGCTAGAACATACCTAGTAAGCTGATGTTATTAAACTTGTTAATAATGGTTTAAATTGAATTACTATAACTGAAGCAAATTTAGTTGTGAAGTCGGCAAATTTAGGCTTCCTCTAAACTGATATAGTGAGTGAACTCTTAGTTATGTCAATCAGATCACGTCCGTGTAAATCACTTCAGTCTGAATCACGTCAGTCTAGTTCACGTCGATATTGATCACGTCAGTGCAGATCATGTCAATGCAGATCACACCAGTCCAGATCACGTCAGTCTAGATTACGCTAGTCCGGATCAATAACTAGAAACACCTCAACACCTGATATACATTATTCATCTGCAATGTAATGATCCACACATGTAGAATAGTTCCACATAACTCACCTTCAGCACTCAACTAACTCAAATATTCGAGAGACAATGACATAATCTAGAGGTTATTTGAATAATAACAAAAACAAATGTTAAACATTCGCCATATGAGCATTAAGAATAAACGATCACAAACATTATCAATAAACACAGAAGAATGTTATATAAACCATAAAACGTAGAATTTTGTTTTAGCAAAATTTGACAGGGCAAGTCCCGCTACGAGTATTTTATTTTTCCATCACCCGTTTATATAATGTGTAAAGATTGGTCAAGCATACACAGTATATATACACAGAGGTGTATTTCACTCAGTGTATTTTGAGTGTATTTTAATCCCTATTTCTGGGATTAAAGTATTCTCTGGTGGTGAAAAAGGTTACGTGGTTTTAATGGACCTAGCGTAGTGAATAGGCTTTACCCCATTAAGCAAAAAAAAAAAAAAAATGAAAAATATACACAGTATTAAAAGAAGTAGCGTCATGCGGTGTATACATAAAGCATGTATTAAAATGTATGAAACATGAAGCAGGTATTATGTTAGACATGAAGCAGGTATTATGTTAGACATGAAGCAGGTATTATGTTAGACATGAAGCAGGTATTATGTTAGACATGAAGCAGGTATTATGTTAGACATGAAGCAGGTATTATGTTAGACATGAATCAGGTATTATGTAAGACATGAAGCAGGTATTATGTAAGACATGAAGCAGGTATTATGTTAGACATGAAGCAGGTATTATGTTAGACATGAAGCAGGTATTATGTTAGACATGAAGCAGGTATTATGTTAGACATGAAGCAGGTATTATGTAGAATGAAGCAGTATATGCTAGACATGAAGCAGGTATTATGTAAGACATGAAGCAGGTATTATGTTAGACATGAAGCAGGTATTATGGTAGACATGAAGCAGGTATTATGCTAGACATGAAGCAGGTATTATGTTAGACATGAAGCAGGTATTGTTAGACATGAAGCAGGTATTATGCTAGGCATGAAGCAGGTATTATGTTAAACATGAAGCAGGTATTATGTTAGACATGAAGCAGGTATTATGGTAGACATGAAGCAGGTATTGTTAGACATGAAGCAGGTATTGTTAGACATGAAGCAGGTATTATGCTAGGCATGGAGCAGGTATTATGTTAAACATGAAGCAGGAATTATGGTAGACATGAAGCAGGTATTGTTAGACATGAAGCAGGTATTATGGTAGACATGAAGCAGGTATTGTTAGACATGAAGCAGGTATTATGGTAGACATGAAGCAGGTATTGTTAGACATGAAGCAGGTATTATGGTAGACATGAAGCAGGTATTATGCTAGACGTGACGCAGGTATTATGAGACATGAAGCAGGTATTATGTGACATGAATCAGGTATTACAATGAGACATGACGCAGGTATTGTGGCATGAAGCGGATATTATGTGACACGAAGCAAGTATTATGTGAGGCATGAAGCGGGTATTATGAGACATGAATCAGGTATTATGAGACATGAATCAGGTATTATGAGACATGAATCAGGTATTATAACGTGAGACACGAGCTGCCTTCCTATCATAGATCAATACTAAAATACATCTTCAACTAACTACTTACCCAATATATTTGTTCCTTAGTTCTAAGGTGACTTCCTTCTCCAGTCGTTGTTTACCAGTCATCATAGTTATCAGTGTGAAGTGATCTTATCAAAGATCAGTGATAACACAGAGGAACAACTGCTCCCTTCCGTGGCACAGTGACAACTGCTGCCCTTCCTATCTGCCAGCCGTTTATTTGTGGACACATGCGCACCTCCTCCCCCATGTTACACCTTCTACCATTGGTTGCTGCCATCTTTCCCCCCATGTTACACCTTCTCCCATTGGTGACTTCCGTAGGCGCGGTTCCTCGAATTTGTAAGTTAGTCGCTGGTTGGTTCTGCCTAACGTTGCCATTATACACACAGGACTATTTGATGATTCCAGGATTACCCTCCTCCTCCTCCTCCTCCTCTTCCCCTCTCTCTCCTCTCCACTCCTCTTCTTCCTCTCCATTCCTCCTCCTCTTCCTCTCCCATGTACAAAATAGGTCACTGGGTCACCTGAATAGACACCGGACAATACCGGCCTCATCAATGCAAAAGGTCAATGGTAGAGTGACAGCTTAGGTTAGACTTATTTTTTTCATTATTATTATTATTATTATTAGTAGTAGTAGTAGTAGTAGTAGTAGTTTACCTGGAGTTTACCTGGAGAGAGTTTCGGGGGTCAACGCCCCCGCGGCCCGGTCTGTGACCAGGCCTCCTGGTGGATCAGTAGTAGTATTTCATTACTATTATTTTATTTTTTCATTATTATTATTATTTTTTTATTTTTGTTTTTTGTTTTCTATTTTTCTTATTTTTCTTCTTGTTCTTCAGGTGGTCCACCTACACACGTTATCAACACCATGGTGGCCCGTGGCCTGGTTGGCAACGCTCTCGCTTCACACACTGAGTGTCCGTAGTTCAATCCCCTACTTCGACTAGTGGATGGTACCACTATGATCCCGCCTCCGTCTGCTTCAAGTCACCTCACTACAGTATATAAGCCACGTCTACGGCCCTATGCTGTACATTCTACAAGATTGATGGACTGAACACATCGACTCCAGGCTGAGGGACTGATTACCTCATACTCCTCCTCTCCTTACGCCTTCCTCTTTGTATTGGACTGATGAAGCCACTGTGTGGCGAAACGTTTCCTGAATAAAGATTCCCATATGCTGCATAAGTGTCTCAATCTTCAAATTGTCGGTTTTTCAAACCATTCATCACAACACTGGGCGTGTTTTCTTACACTTGCTGTCCCTGTTCACCTAGCAGTAAGTAGGTACCTGGGTGCTAGTCACCTTACATCTACAGGTTTATATCCCCTTGAAGACTTACAGTGTCCTCAATAGATGACACTCATGCAAATTCTAGTATCGTTATCAGAGAAAGACACAGTGCTATGGTTTACATCTCTGTGTCAGTCAGATATGAGGAACAGCATGGGAGCGAGTACTGTGCCTTGTGGAACACAGCTTTTCACTATAGCCGCCTCTGACTTTACTCTGTTTACTATTACTCTTTGTGTTATATTTGTTAGGAAGTAAAAAATCCACCTACCCACTTTTCCTGTTATTCCTTTATCACATATTTTGTATGCTATTACAGCATGATTGCACTTGTTGAAGGCTTTCGCACTCTGTGTATACTACATCCGCATTCTGTTTGTCCTCCAGTGCATTTGAAGGACCAATTAACCGTGAACGTTATTCAACACTCACGGCAGTAAATATATAAACACAACATAAATAAATACTATAATTCCGGCTTAGAATAACAACATCAGTTAAAATCCTATTAAAACATTAATGTCAGAAGACTCCTAAAAGCTCCCCAAGGTCCCTACAGGTATCTCGGTAATTATAAGATAACGTGAAAGATGCAGAAATTCCTAAGCCGAGAGCAAACTGTTAAAATATGTACTACAATCAGTGGCACATTGCCAGCTACACAGAGAGGCATAGGCAAGAACACCTGTGAGCAGGTGGCTGACGGTGAGGTGTGTGTGATTCCCAGCTGAAAGAAATTCAACTCAAAGTGACGATTCTTGTTGGCGGAGGAGGAGGGTCCAGCACTCACACGTCTTCCAGAATACTGTATTACTTGCTGCTAATCTGCTGGGCCCACCGGGCTCCCGTGGCAGGCGACTGTTGTTCCTGAGGAATAAATCACCACCTGTTGTATCAGTCCAGATGTACACAACACCTGTTGTATCATCCCAGGAGTACATACCACCTGCTGTATCAACCCAGGTGCATACAACACCACCAGTTATATCATCACAGGTGTGCACAACACCTGTTGTATCATCCCAGGTGTACATGTTGTTTTCACACTCTTGGCCTTCTATAGCCAAGGTCAGAATGGATGGCGGATCTGCCAAGACAGCAAGGCAGGCTTCCACTGCTGTCAGCAGATAACCAAGCCTCTCGACAGAAGACCATGTTTGATGACAGTGTACGCAGAATTTCTGTTGTTGTTTTCACAGGATGGACATGATTGTGTGGATGTTCTTTCCCCAGGGAAATATAGTACTGTTGTACCCCCTGAGGAGTGTCGTTTTGATGTTAACTCTCTGGGAAGAGTCGTCCTGGTGGTCTCCCTGTGGTATATCGTCCTGGTATAACCTCCCTGAGAAGTGTGGTTTTGATATAACCCTAAGAAGAGTCGTCCTGGCAGTCTACCTGGGGAATATCATCCTAGTAGTTCCCCTGGGAAGGGAACACCTATTTGCACGATAAAAGCTCTTTAAGTGGCATGTATCAAATGCTCCTTCAAGAAGCACACGTCAAATGCTCCGCCTATGGAGCCTCCATCACCCGCCTTCCCTAAAAAGTAAAGAATGTCAACTACTCTCAAGAAGCACTCGCTAAATGCTCCCTCAAAGGGCATACCTCTGATTTAGACTACACGTCGAGGTAAAAGACTCAGTCTGCCTCTCTAAGGGATCCGTCATTATCCAACATGATGAATAAGATAGACATTTGTGCAATGCTTGGGTATATTTATTGTGGAAACGTTTCGCCCACCAGTGGTTTCCTGGTTGGTGAAACGTTTCCATAATAAGGATACCCAAGTGTTGCACAAGTGTCTAATTCATCATCCTGTCGATTATCTGAATACTTTATCTACATTATCCAATATACAAGAAGTTTTATATGTGATGTTAAAGATCCTTCAATGATGTCTCTCGCCCTTCAGGACAAGCTATGAAATTTTACTGGACATCATTCCACAAAAAAAGAAGTTGAAAGGAAGTGGCTGAGACCCACAAATTGTGTAATGTTGTTTTAACACTATTTCCTTCAGCATGGTGTTACTGTTACAGCCTCAGACGTACGTCCATGTTACACATGGACTCTGTTTCTTTTCCATACATGTGAGGCTGGACAGGTTGTTAGCCTTGTGCTAGCTGCTGCCCGAATTTTACTAGGCTGCACTGCACATATGTATAGTTCATTACCACTGTAACTTGTTCATTTATCAAAGCTCTGCGGTCTAGTCCCTGGACCCATTATGTACCTCTGTAATCCTTTGACTACCGCTCAGAGGATGGGTATAGGGTGCATAATAAATGTTATAGTAACTGCCTCGCTCACCGGTGGTGTTCCTTAGGGAAGCGTCTTGGCTCCTAAACTTCTTCCGTCACTTGTAAAAACTTCAGTCAGGTTACGACCGAATTATTACTTTATTGTATGTATATGTCCAGAAGACAATCAGAATTGAGTTTTGGATCAGGGAATTAATGGATCAACTTACCTGGAGTTTACCTGGAGAGGGTTTCGGGTGTCAACGCCCCCGCGGCCCGGTCTGAGACCAGGCATTATCTACTAACATAAAGCGACAGCCTGAGGCATCCAGTTTCATAGCAGACTTTCACGCCATGTTCGCAGTACATATGAAGGAGCACTGCAGCAGTCCTACTGGCCTATGTTAGGCAGGTCCAAATACATACATACAATGTACATACCTCATGTACTTATATTGATACCTATATTGTGCTTAAATTAGATTACAACTTCAACCTTGTTAAAGACGGCTGCATCACCCACTAAATCGTGGAAATACATAGAAAAAAAAATGTTTTCTCATTTCTTCTTCTGACTAGGATTCGTCACACTGAAACCTCTTTCTCTAAGAGTCTTCACATTGATACAGTTCTCCGTCATCTGACGACAGGGCACCATATGTCCACCAGAAGGTAGAGCAACGTAGCCCTGGGCCTCTAATGGCGTAGTTGTAGCATAATGGTCACATTTTTTTAAATTAGTCTGTTAACAGGAATTAAAGATTATCGACTACACGAGGGCCATTAAGGCTCCATGGATATAAATGCTCTGGAAAACATACAAAGAAGGATGACAAAGATGATCCCATGTATCAGAAATCTTCCCTATGAGGATAGACTAAGGGCCCTGAATCTGCACTCTCTAGAAAGGCGTAGAATTAGGGGGGATATGATTGAGGTGTATAGATGGAAGACGGGAATAAATAAAGGGGATGTAAATAACGTGCTGAAAATATCTAGCCTAGACAGGACTCGCAGCAATGGTTTTAAGTTGGAAAAATTCAGATTCAGGAAGGATATAGGAAAGTACTGGTTTGGTAACAGAGTTGTGGATGTGTGGAACAAACTCCCGAGTACAGTTATAGAGGCTAAAACGTTGTGTAGTTTTAAAAATAGGTTAGATAAATACATGAGTGGGTGTGGATGGGTGTGAGTTGGACCTGACTAGCTTGTGCTACTAGGTCAGTTGCCGTGTTCCTTCCTTAAGTGAATGTGACCTGATCTGGCTAGGTTGGGGCATTGGGTTAAGCCGGTAGGAGACTTGGACCTGCCTCGCATGGGCCAGTAGGCCTGCTGCAGTGTTCCTCCTTTCTTATGTTCTTATGTCACCTGTTCACCACCAGTTAACAATACTACCTGAAGTTGGGGTTAAAGTTAACTCGCAGTATATATACACTGAAGGACATACACATTTCCGTATATAAAACCTGTTTTGAAATTATATACCATGAGCTGACACGTGTTCCAATAATTGGTTTATAATAACCTGTTCAGAAAATATAACTGTTCTCTCTCTCTCTCTCTCTCTCTCTCTCTCTCTCTATATATATATATATATATATATATATATATATATATATATATATATATATATATATATATATATATATATGTGTGTGTGTGTGT